GAGCCTGGTTACTCCGGGGAGGCCAGACACAATGCCTTGCAGTAGGTGGTAGCATGGCCGAGCGGTCTAAAGTTCTAGATTAAGGCTCCAGTCTCTTAGGGAGCGTGGGTTCCAATCTCCCCGCTGCCAGTAAGATTCTCTGACTCCTTATTTTCCCATCCTCCCATCCCCTACAAATTTGTCTAGTTCACCCTTCCAGTGATGGTATTTCCCCAGGCCACAGGTAATACGCGTGTGCATACATACCAAGTCCACAACAATCCCCGCACAAGGTAAGCTTGCAACTAGTTACTTCACCCAAGAGTGAAAAAGCGCACAACGTGTGCGATATTTACTCCCTTAACCGTTACATTTTCAACATTCAGAAGCATCCGCCAACATGTAATACAGTGTAATGGACTTTTATTTAACTCATTCATTTTAAGAAAGATTATTCCGCACCTACTATGTGGTATGCTGCAGACTCCGCAGTGTCCCCCTGTTACGTTGGTCAATAGAAGATAGCTGGATGGGAAACTACCAGTCTCCTAAAGGGAGACTCGTAACCAGTGACAGATCTACCAAAAGCGCTGAAGGAATGCATTCTGTGTGACTCTGAGGGGTGCCGGGCTGTCCTCAGTCTCACCACAGCCTTCTCCTTTCATTTTGGACCCACAGCCGATCTGAGCTCTACTGTGATTCTACAAAATGACTCGCTTCACACCACTGCGCCTTACACATCAGCAGCTGGAGCTCCGGGTCTGCGGTGCCGCCTGTATTTCTGAAGGGCCGAGGGCTGGCCGTGCCTGCACAACTCCTTCTCACTCTGGGGCCCCAGCATAAATGACTTTCTTGATGCCTTCCTTGCTCTCGTTCCAGCTCCAGGATTACGATTAGGATCTGGGGATACCGAGAGGAAAAGAGAGACGGTGCCTGCCCCTCAGAAAAGGGGGACTGGGGAGTGGGAGGAGGAAGGAAAGAACCGAAAAGAAGGGAAGAGAGGAGGAAGGGAACTCCTGATTTAGACTCGTTGAATTGAGCACGTCAAGTGAAGGTAAAAGGAACTCCTCAGGAAGTCTAGATCTGATTTACCTACTGAGCACTCCTCTGTTCGCTGCCGGGTCCGCTTGTGTCTCCTTTATGCGTTCACGCAACACTGCCGGAACCGTGTCAAACAAACGCCAAAGTCAGACCTTATGCGGTGGAAGTGGGAGGAGATCCGCCTGCACGCGCGGTTGATGCGGAGGGAACAGGGAATCTAAAAGCCCCAACTCCTGACTGCAGCTGAGGGAAAGCTCCCGGGCATGCAGTTTGCTGGAGACAAATCTACAGACGCGGTACAAGGAGGAAGTGAAACCCAGAGGAAGAGAGTCTACGTATTTCTTTGCTCACTTGCAAACATCCAGTTTGTTCTTTGTCGGAACGGAAAGAAAGCACAATCTTCTGGGTAATGAATAGATCCTGCATCCGATACTGCCCGACCCTGAGATGCAGGAAAGGAACCCGGAGCCGAGGAGCGGCGCACACCACAGGGCCCTCCCACCTCCTAGCTTGACCATTTCTGTCGCCGCACCACCAAGGACAGAGATTTTTCTACTCACGTGAATTGCTCCGATAAAAACTCTTTTACATCAATTTGGAAGCGGGAAAAGAACGTCCCCTTAAAGCGGTGCTTCCTTTCCAGTTGTGCAGGGCAGTTGTAAAGAGTGCACGGAAAGTGATCTCGGATGGAAATTGACTCGGGGGAAAGGAAGGAGAGCAGCCAAAAGAGAGGAGAGATGGGAGAGGCCAGGGAAGGATAAGAACAATGTTTGTCAACATACATGTATGGAAATGTTTGTATGTTAACCAAAAAATTTATTGGAAAAAGAAAAGAACACCCCAACAGGAAAAAAAAAAAAAAAAAAAAACTAACCAAGGATATGACTGGGTCATTCATGGAAAAGATGAGTTTATTTGAACCATACTAACAAAACATAAAATAATTTCAAATGAAAACTTCCGTGAGATATATGTTTAATAAACAGTAGCAGTTCTTTAAAACAGTGTCCACAGATGGATGTTACAAGCGTTTGTTTGCTATGAATGGTTCCATGGTGTAATGGTTAGCACTCTGGACTCTGAATCCAGCGATCCGAGTTCAAATCTCGGTGGAACCTTTTATGGTTCGCTTTTTCTTTTTTATTTTGTCATACAGTGAACAAACTTTCTTTTAATTCCAGAATTTGACTTTTGATGGCTCCAGCAATGAAAAACGTCATGTGATGTTTTGTGACTACAACCTGTGAGCTCCTGCACTAGTGTGTCACATTGCAGCCAGTACATATTCTGCACAGTTGGCTCACACAACTCGAAAACTGCTCTCGCAGCCGGTTTTCTCTCGGACCCACTCCTTAAAGCAAACGCGCTTTTGGCACAGAAGTCCTAACACTCAGCTCAAAGCACTTCATGATTAATGGGGCAGACCTCTCCTAAGGTCCGGAGTCAGTTGGGATAGAAAATGAGAGGGTAGAGAGCGAAGAAGTATTTTTGAAAATAAATGAAACTTTCAAAGTCAGCCTAGTCTACATAGTGAGTTCCAGGCTAGCTGGGGCTACAGAGAGACCCTGTCTCAAAAAGACAAAAAACAAGTAATAATAAACGAATGAATGAATGAAAAAGACGTGTGTCAGAAGTGGGATTCGAACCCACGCCTCCACTCGGAGACCAGAATCCCCAACTGAGGAAGCAAAGCTTGAGTCTGGCGCCTTAGACCACTCGGCCATTCTGACACTCTTCTAGGGCCTCTAACAGATGTAACTGTAATGAAAGTTCACCCGGTATAAGTAATTACTACTACCATCTTTTGGGTTTCCTTTACTAGAAGAAAATAGAGATTCTCTTCCCAATCCTGTCTGGAATTCAGCGTTTAACCCCCCTTCCCTAGGCCCTTCCCTGAACGCAGCACTGTTCAGAAAGCCTGAGAATCCTCAACACTTGGCTGATTCTGACAGGTACAGACGTGCCACTAAGGGACTGTTCCAAGATGCTGCTCACCAGCGCCCTAATGGCTAGACAGCCGGCAGGAAAGAGAACAGGTTAGAAAGCCAGAATATAGAGTAGACCAGGAAGACAGGCTGCAGTGCAGAACAGAAAGAGAAGGGACCCGGGCCATGAAAACTGGCTGTAGTGATAGAAACTGGAACGATCAAGAATTTTAAAAGTGAAGTGAAAAGTGAGACGGAAATGTCAGCTCAGAGTCAAAATCCCCAAATCCCTTGCTCCCAGAGATTTGCAAAACCAGATGGTCTGTTGCTTTTTGGCAAAGGCTGGGGGTGTTCCATCCTTGGATGGAACCGTAAGTAACGATAAATGCAGTATTTGAAGTATTCCAAAGAAATGGCCAGGACTCAGTGTGACCCCCCCCCCAAATCTCTAGGCCACAGAGAACCCACAATCAGTTTTTATTTCCAATTTTAAGTATGAGCAACACCAAGGAAAACTAGTTATTTGTGAAAATATTTCTATAATTTAAAAAGATTAAATACAAGTAAGGGGTCAGCCGGGTGTGGACACCTTTAATCACAGCCGGTGGAAGTCAGAGGCTAATCTCTGTGAGATCAAGGCCCACCTGGTCTACATAGTGAGTTCCAGGTGAGCTGGGTCTCCAGAGAGACCCTGTCTCAAGAAAGACCCAAAAAGGGGAGGGTGGGTGAGGTGTGGGGGGACAGAGAAAACATAAGAAGAAACAATACATGCAGAAAATACAATACAGGAACTTGGAAGTTTTTAAAAATCACAATAAAATCTTCAGGGAGGTAAGAGAAGAAGAGTGGGTAATTTTTAAATAGTTTGAAAGCAGAATTATTTTTTTTAACTTTTAAAGATTTATTTATTTTTAGTGTAAGTGTACCACATGCATGCAATGCCCCACAGAGGTCAGAAGGGGGCTTTGGATCCTCTGAAACTCGAGTTACAGGCCCTTGTTAGCTGCCATGTGAATGCTGGGAACTAAACTCAGGTCCTCTGCAAGAGCAGAAAGTGCTCCTAACCTCTGAGCCATCTCTCCACCCCAGCAGAATTATTTTGGAAGTTATAAAATGAAGTTGTAGAAATCACTTAGAAAATATAGGTGAAGAATGAAAAATCAGAGATGAACAAAAGACATATGGTAGGAGGTATGCCATCAAACTACTGAGACTTCCAGGCAAAGAAAAAGAAAATGACAGAAAAGAGATAATGACATATTTACCAGAACTGAAGACCTCAGATCTACAGATAGAAAAGGTCCCATCAAGTGCCCCACATCAAGGTAGCTCATAATGAAATATCAGAAGTGAACAGTCTTTGTAAAAAGAAAGGGAAATACAAAGGTAATGTACAAAGCATGGACTCAGAATGGCATCTTTTTTAACACAGCAACACTGAAAGCTAGAGGACAGGAAGACAATGACTTCTAAATTTGTGAAAGTAAATAAATTAGGGATGGAACCTGGGCCTTAGGACATACAGGGCAAACACAACCAGTTCCCTCTTATTTGCTCAGTAAGTTGTACAGGCAAGCCTGGAGCGCATTCTAAATCAAGTGTTCCGTGAAATTAGCTCTCCTGTCTCATCCTCAGGAGTAGCCAAGAAAATACAACCAGCTCACAGGTAGATTTTTAGACCCAGTCAAACTATTAATCAAATGTAGGTGGACATTTTCATTACACTTATGTATTTATTTGAGGAGAGGGCACATATCACAATGTACATGTGGAGGTCAGAGGGCAGTCTGAGGGATTTGGTTCTCTCCTTCACCATGTAGGTCCCAGGGACTGAACTCCAGCATAGGGGCAAACACCTTTACCCACCTAGGCATCTCAGTAGCCCTAAATGGACATTTGCAAAACTCCCAGAAAAGTTTATGTTCTATTAACTCTTTCTCAGGAAGTTTCTGGGGAATTGTTCTATCAAAGAGAGGATTAGACTGAGAAAAAACATGTGAAATCCCATAATGGTGGAGTATGCACAGGAAAGAGGTAAAAAGAGACATTCCACTCCCCCTTTTCAAAGCACTCAATGGTCCTTCTGGTAGTAACTCATTGAGTGGTCAAGAAGGGGCAGAGTGAAAACACCCCTTTTGGGTGAAATAGCAACTTCTGTTGTTTTGCTTCAGTCAGTGTCATAATTAGAGAGAGAAAAAGAGAAAGAGAGAAAGACAGAGAGAGAGAGAGAGAGAGAGAGAGAGATTCCAAGGTGCTTACTGAGCTGCCAGTCTAGAGAGAAACCAGTCTATTGCAGCAGAAGTAAAATGGCAATAGGTCACACATGGGACAAGAGACAACAGGTTCTCATACCTTGACTGCTTAGAGCCTGTTTCCCACTAGCTCCTCTCCTCCTGTGTCTGTCCTTTATTCCCTTGTCTTACCACAGAACAAGAAGTCATCACATACAGAGAAATGCTGGATGTCTCTGGGGACAAACTGGCCACTAATCTGTATCTTAAATGGGAAAATTTCCTCAAACCCTAAGTAAGAAATTTCAGAAGGCATGCTATCTTCATGACTAATAAAACCCAGACTCCTGCAAGAACTCAATAAAATGCTTGCACTTTTCTAGGTTGGCAGGAAACCTCAATTTCTTGAAAGCCAGGCTGACCCTGTTTCTCAACCTCTTTTCTTTCCAGTTAGAACTTCTGCCTGGAAGTTCATACTTTGTTTCTATTTCTATAATCACAGGGACAATGCTTTCATGTGTCCAGTATCAAAAGGAAATGCTAGGCACCTGCAAGATGATTCAGTGGGTAAAGATGCTTGCTGCCAAGCATATCATCTGAATTTGGTCCCTGGCTCCCACATGTTAGAAGGAGAGAAATTACTCCTGCATGTTGTCATCTGGCCACTGCCCCTCCATTAACACACAAACAAATAAACACAATAAAAGTATACATTTTTTATGGATCTGGAGAGGTGGCTTAGTGATTGAGGGCATAATGCTCTTTGAGAGGACTCAAGTTAGGTTCCCAGCACTCATGTTGGGTGGCTCACAACTACCTGTAACTCCAGCTCCAGGGAATCTGACCACCTTTTCTGGCTTCTGAGGACGTACACTCATGTACACACACACACACACACACACACACACACACACACACAAAGCTCCACAGAATCTGACCTTTCTTTCTGGCTTCTGAGTACGTACACTCATGTACACACACACACACACACACACACACACACACACACACAAATACACAAAAGTAAAAATAATCTTAAAAAGTGTTAATGAGGTCTAAAAGAGGGTATTTCTTTTTTTAGATTTTTATAATCTAAACCACTGAACCATCTCTCCAGCCCCTAGATTAATTTTTTTATGTATTTATGCCTGCATGCATGTAAATGCACCTGCGTTGTGCAGTACCTGAGGAAACCAGAAGAGGGTGTGGGATCCCCTGGAACTGCACTTACAGACAGTTGTTAGTTGCCATGTAGGTGCGGGGATTCAAACCCGGGTCTTCTACAAGAGCAGCCAGTGCTCTTAACTGCTGAGCAATCTCTTCAGCAAAAAGAGGGTATTTCAAAGTGGGAAAATGAAATCGATATGTTGCCTCACATATGTGACCATGAAATAGTGTCACAAAACTCATGTCAGGCCAGGCATGGTGGCACATGCCTTTAGTCCCAGCACTTGGAGGCAGAGGTAAGGCTATCTCTGTTGCCCAGGCTAGCCTTGAACTTCCTCTGTAGCCCAGATTGGGCTCAAGCACTCAAAGTTTTTAATCATCCTGCTTCAGATTCAGATATTCAGATTGCAGGTCTGTGCCACCAGGCCAGGCCTATATATATATATATACATTTTTTCAGTGCTAAAGATCAACCCTAGGGCCCCATGTAAGCTAAACAAGTGCTCTATCACTTAGTTACATCCCCAGCCCCTGTAATTCTTAGTTTATTATTCATCTTTCCCTCTAAGAAGTAATTTTGTGAGCCCAGGAAGTTTTTTGTTATTATTAATGTATATTGATTACACCAAAATAACATATTTCATTACAACGTTTTCATACAACATGAAGCCTACTTGTTCACCCTAATCTGTCCCTAACCCTCTCTGGTTTCCTCTAACTCTCTCACTCCTGCTGATCCCTTTCTACTTTCACATCTTATATTTATTTTTTATGAGTGTGTTCGCCTGCATGTATGTAAGTGCATTCATACTGTGTAATGTTCACAGAAGCCAGAAAAGGGCATCAAATTCCCTAAAACTGGAGTCATGAATAATTGTCAGCTGCCATGTGGATGCTGGGAACTGAACCCAAGTCCTCTGGAAGAGTAGCAAGTGCTCTTAACCACTGAGCCATCTCTCCAGTCCTTCTCATTTTTGTTTTTTGTTTGGTTTGTTTCGGTTTGGCTTGGTGTGGTTTGTTTGGGTTTGGTTTAGTTTGGTTTGGTTTGGTTTGGTTTGGTTTGGTTTGGTTTGAGACATGGTGTCCCTGTAGCCCCAGCTGACCTGGAACTTGCTATGTAGACCAGGCTGGGCTCGAACTCACAGAGATCCTCCTGCCTCTGCCTCCCAAGTGCTGGAATTAAAGAGTGCTAGAACTAAAGGCATGCCTCACCACATTGGCTTCTCTCGTTTTTCTTAATAATAGCCATATGGTTGGTATGAGATGGAATCTCAATATAGTTTTGATTTCTGTTTCCCTGGCCACTAAGGGTGTTGGATATATGGGTGGGGGATACATCTGTACTTCTTTCAAGAACTGTACATTCATTTGACTTTTTATTTTTTAAATATTTTTTATTTATTTATTTTGTGTGTATGAGTGTAATCTACATGTGTGTAAGTGCACCAGTGTCATGCAATGCCTGCAAAGGTCAGAAAAAGTCATTGGATTTGCCTGGAACTGGAGTTGCTTTTGGTTGTTAACCACCATGTGGATGCTGGGAATCAAACGTGGGTATTCCTCAAGAGCAGCCAGTGCTCTTAACCATTGAGTCATCCCTCCAGCTCCTTGACCACTTATTGCTTGGGGGTTTGTTATTTGTTTGTTTTTGAGTGAACCATATGTGTGATTTGCTGATATCAATTTATAGATAAAACAGGTATTTTTCCCCCATGAACTGAGGTTATTTTCAGTCTATCGTAACAGACGCCCACATATCTTTACCTTGAAGATGCAGCACTTCAAGCTTCAGTCAGGGTTAGTTATTCCTTTTTCACTTTCACAATTCTTATGCTGCTGTGGGAAGGTTTTTAGCATTTGCTTTTGTCTTCAGGCACTCCTACCTGCTTTTGTACAGCTCTGGGAGAATCAGATATAGCTGAGTCCAGCCTGTTGCCAGTAGCCACCATGATGTGATGAAAGGGATCTATCAGGCTGAATCATTAGGACACTGCAATGTTGACTAAGCAGGGCCCAGCCACAGGAAGGTAAGGCTTTGGTTTGGCTTTTTAATTTTTTTTTTCTGGTTTTGTTTTTTTTTTTGAGACATAGTTTCCCTGTAGCTCCAGCTGGTCTGGAACTCACTATGTAGACCAGGCTGGCCTCTCACAGAGATCTGGCCTGCCTCTGCCTACCAAGTGCTGGGATTAAAGGTGTGCTCTATCACACCCAGCTGCTCTTTAATTTTTGTTTTCTTGTAGCTTAGGGTTTTAGCTTTTGTATGTGTGTGCTTGTGTGTTAAATTTTTGAGTCCTTTATAGATTATGGACACTTAACCCCTGTCAGATCCATAAGTAAGTCCAGGAACTTTTTTTGTTCCCCACAGTGTCCTAGAAGCTAGTCAGTATACCTGGTATTGTCAACATAGTTGGTGCTCAACAAACATTTGTTAAAAGAATGAATCTCACACATCTGCGTAAATCAGTATGTAGAAACCTAACTTATTCTTCTTAGACCTGCATAGTATTCCATTGTATACCTACATACTATGTTCACCAATTTGTCCTCTAGTGAATCATTTTTGTGTTTCTATATTTTACAAATTTAGAATGTGCTATAGTATTTATGCCTTGTAAAATCAGTCATCTTAGACAGATGAGAGGAAGTGGAGTAGAAGATTCAAACGGTATGTGCATTTAAAAAACTATTACCAAATTATTTTCAATAGTGTTCTTTTTGTTTATATTCCCATGGCCTTTAATCCCAGCACTTCGGAGGCAGAGGTAGGTAATCTCTGTGAGTTTGGGGCTGCCTGGTCTACATAGCAAATTTCAAGGCAGCTGGGGCTATACGGAGATCCTGTCTCTCAAAAAAGACAACAACAACGATGACGACAATACAAAAGACTCCCAATCTTTCACCTTTTTGTTTTGCTTTTGAAGAGAGGGTCTCACTATGTAACCCTGGTTGGCCTGGAACTTGGTATGTTAACCAGGCTGGCCTTGAACTCACAGAGATCTACCTGCCTCTACCTCTAGAGTGCTGAGGTTAAAGGCATGAGCCACCATGGTCAGCCTCTGTCTCTAGTTCTGTACAATCAGATGGACCAATGTGTAGCGTCTAGGTTTCAGGGGAGGGTGTCAAACTTAGAAAGGACTTCCAGTGATTTTTTTTTAACCTTTCCATTTTTTCCCCTAGAGTTTTTTTTTTTAGAATGTCCTGGGAATTTATATTTTAAGCATTTATTTTTATTTTATGTGTATGAGTTTATTGCTTGCATGTGTGTAAGTGTGCCTGTGTCATGCAATGCCCTCAAAGGGCAGAAGGTGTCAGAGCCCCTGGAACTTAAGAACAATTGTTAGCTGCCATGTACGTGATGGGAACTGAACCCGGGTCCTGTGAAAGAGCAGTTTTGTTATTGTTGTTTTGTTTTTAATGTGTCTGAGTTTTATTTTATGTGTATGAGTTTATTGCTTGCATGTGTGTAAGTGTGCCTGTGTCATGCAATGCCCTCAAAGGGCAGAAGGTGTCAGAGCCCCTGGAACTTAAGAACAATTGTTAGCTGCCATGTACGTGATGGGAACTGAACCCGGGTCCTGTGAAAGAGCAGTTTTGTTATTGTTGTTTTGTTTTTAATGTGTCTGAGTGTTTTACCTGCATGTATGTGCGTGCAATGCCCATGGAGAGCCGAAAAGGGCATCAGGTTCCCCGGAACTGGAGTTACAGGTGGTTGTTAGCTGCCCTGTTAGTGCTGAGAATTGAACTTGGGTCTTCTGTAAAAGTAGCCAGTGCTCCTAACTACTGAGCCATTCCTTTCCTAAGAGCTTTTAATGACTGACATTTTCAATTTAAAATCTTTCATTAATATAGAATACATTTGGATGTAAGATGAGAAATGAGATCACCCCCACTCCCCCAAACAACTAACTAGCTGTTCCAAGATCATTTGTTAAATGTACAGCACCAACCTGAAATGTTCCCTTTATCTTATACTAAATTCTAACTACATTTTAGTCATTTCTCATTTTCCTATTTCTGTTCCATCAATCAGTTAGCTTTTTTTTTTTTCTTTTTTCTTTTTTTTGCGGGGGGGGGCAGCTTTTTGAGACAGGGTCTCCCTGCAGCCCCAGTTGGCCTGGAGCACACTATGTAGATGAGGCTGGCCTCCCAAGTGCTGGGATTAAAGGCATGTGCCACAATGCCCAGCTCAGTTAGCTTATTTTTAAAAGTGCTGTAGTCTTGTATTTTTCCTATTATTTTACCACACTAACTGTGAAAAGTATTTCTTGGTAAAGGGCAGATCAGAGAAAAGGAGATGAAACAAAAGTACCTTGGGCTTCAAGCATAAGTGATCTGAGGAGAGAGGAATTACGGGCACCAAATGCCCCTGAGATGTTAAAGCCAAGATGTTATAGCCTATTCTAGTAGGTCATCAGTCCCCTTAGGCAGGTAAAGGCAGTAAACAAAAGTTTATTTTAAAAGAAAACATTAATAAAAATTGTTAGCTATGTTTAGTAGCACACACAGATAATCTCAGCATCTATGAGACTAAGGCAGGAGAATTTTCATAAATTCAAAGCCATCTTGGGTTACATAGGGAATACCAGTCTAGCCAAGTTTGCATAGATCTCAGAAAATTAAAATAACAATAAATAAGTAAATAAATAGTATTTTATTATATTGGACCTGTATTTTAACAGGTCTGGGCAATGTCCTGGAGGTAAAAAAGAAAGTCTGAAGATTTCTGAGTAAGAACAGACAAAATGAGAAAGTAGAGAGGGGTCTATGTGGGAGAGGAAGGGGTCTAAAGAGAGGGAGAACTGGAGGGAACAAAAGAGGGTAATGAGGGAGAATAAAAGAAAGACAATTATCACATTTTCTCTCATCTGAAGAATCTGGATTTAACAATGTATAGGGAGGGTTATGGGGACACAATCACAAGCAAAGTACAGTAACACACAAGTTATGGACAATTGTTAGATGCCATGTGGGTACTCAGAGTCAAACCCAGGTCCTCTGCAAGAGCAGTCAGTAATTTTAACTACTGAGTCATCTCTCTAGCCCCAAAGTTACTTTTTCAAAAAATGACAAAATAAAAGAAACACTGGAGGGGTTTTCCGGATGATTCTTTTCCTAGAGGTGGCATGTACATGGATTAGAGAAAAAGCCTAGAAACAGAAAAGTAATAGGAATGGTTTCATTCATTTAGCTACTAATTCATTTCAAAAGTATTTACAAACTGATACAGTATTGTAACAATTTAGGTCAAGGTATAGAACCAAAAAATTAAAATAAAGGAGATGGATGTAGATTAGAGGTAGAACACTTGCCTACCCTGCATTAGCCCTTGAGTTTGATCCCCAACACTAGAAAAAAATGTAAATGAGCAGGCAAATTGAGCAATAAAGCAAATCATAAATCTACCAAATCAGGTGGATGAAGAGAGGCAGTCATCATTAGAGAAAAGAAGAGATCACCAAAAGGAAAGCTTTCTTTTCCCTACTCCCATCCAATTTCAAGGTATCTGTTTCCTCCACCCTTCTTTACCTCCAGGTAATCTGCCTCCAGTAGTTCTGAAAGACTGAACAATAGCACTGAATAACAAAGCTGAACTCCAGGCCTACATTGCTGAAATAAGGGGACATGTTAGCCTTATCTGACATCTGTATCCTCTATTTACATACTGTTTGGCAAAACTTACTGCTTCTTTCTGGAGTAACAGAATAGAAGCATCTTTCAATACCTTCAAACTTTAATTTTGACCCAATCTCAAACCAAGACCGAACTATGGTATGACTGACTCCACTTACTTTTCTTAGACTTTGTAGACTTGATTCGGCTGTAACTTGCTAGGTAGACCAGAAATCTGCCTGCCTTTGCTTACTGAGTGCTGGCTTAAGGGCATGGGCTACCATGCCTGACAGAATACTCTACATTTTATGGAAATGTGCTAGGGTTATTTGGGCCTGAACTTTCAAAGACTGGTTCAGAAGAGAATGTAGGCTTGGGTTGGCAAGACCATTTAGTACACCGAATTTCCTGTCCTATGGGTAAAAATATCAGTGGAACCCTCTCAAGAGATGTTCTGGAAGCAGAAAGCCCTAACTGCTCAGATATAAGGACAACACTGAGAAAAATCATATCCATATCGGGCCCAAAGTAGGAAATAACATGTCTGAGATGACAGAGTACAGAGCTGTAAATCTATTTTGTTCTAAGAGACTGGACATTATGGAGCTACCAAGGTTTTGGATCACTACAGAACTTTCCACTTTCTATAGATCAGAAAGGAACATTTTTTAGATTCTACTCAGTACCACACAAATGCACCTCGAACTTTATTAAAACTAGCAGATAAACACCCCTATGGTTCAAACAATAAAAATAAAAAGTCTCCCTCCTTGCTGGGATACATTATCCCTGAAAGGTAACGGGTATGACTTTCAAGGGAAACACTGAGGTACACTGTTGGGGCAAGAAGCTTATTAGAAGAGTTATTAACGCCATGCATGGACAGACAACAGCCCGGTGGGGACTCAGGAGTTCAGGCTCCAACGCCACAGATAGTATAGCGGAATTTTGAGGATGATGCACTTGGAAAAATCGGGGTCCTTTCTTATAGGGTTTCACTGGAGCCTGAAAGCAGTCTGTCTCTGATTCCTAAGCAGGTGGCAAGGAAGACGGGGAGATGGGTGTCTCCAAGTAGTCCTTTGATGTGTCTTCTAGACACTTGGGGAAGTGAGAAATCCGGGCACCTAGGGCATCGGTTAGAAAGTTACACTCTCAGGGAGGCTCGCGGTTGGGGGGAGGGGGCGGTGGCAGTGCTGTAAGGCTAGGGAGAAGGGAGAAGGCTGCTTCAGGTACGGTGGGCAGAGAAGCAGTCTGGTCTGGATTCTAACAATCCTCGTATCGCCGGAGAAGAAAATGAGGCTCAGAACGGTAAGCCAACTTGCTTGGGCAGATGTGGAAGTAGAACTGCTCATCTGTTTCCGCCATACAAAAAAAGGTATTCATAATTAAATCTTTCTTTTTCTAGCGATGTAACTTGCCTGGACTTGGATGCGTTTTAGAGTGTTTCACATACTGGGAAGGACTCATCTGGGGTCTTCAATTCTCCAGCCTCCCCCACCAGTCGGCGCTTCCCGGAACTTAAAGTCATCTTTCATTAAAGGGAGCCTAGGCCTAGGTTTAAGACGAAATCCAACAAAAAACTACGGGTCCGCACTCTGTGCCCACCGAGGCTTGGAGGTGGATCTGAAACCTGCTGGCGGAAATAACCTGTGCCCAGAGCGCTCAGCAGGCCCCCTCGAGTACCCAAAGCTCCAGCTCCAACCTCCCGGCCCTGCTCCCGCAAGCTGGAAAACTAGCCGGGAACTGGGGAGCTGGAGGCGCGGGCCAGGCTCCGCCCCCAGGGCTCCGCCCGCGGTCCACCCCTTCCGCTCGACCGGGTGGAGTTTGCGCGGCTGCTAGATCTGTTCCGCCGCGGCCACGTTGCTCTGTGAGCCCGGCCGACGGCGCCCGGTTCCCATCTCCCCGGCTCGGCTTCCTGCAGGGCTCTAGGGCCGCGGCCTTCCCGCGGGGTACAGCGGTACAGAGACAGGCCTGGCTGCCCGGGAGCTCCGAACGCCGACAGGTCTGGCATCCCGGTCCGAGAGGCGCCGCCCTCCGCCCGCCCCACTCCAGGTCTGAGAAGCACAGCGAGCGCGGGAGAGCCGGGCTCCGCCAGAGCTCGGCTTGGGGCTCATGCCCTGTGGGCCCGCGCCATGGCCTCCGGGAGCGTGGCCGAGTGCTTGCAGCAGGAGACCACCTGCCCCGTGTGTCTGCAGTACTTCGCTGAGCCCATGATGCTCGACTGTGGCCACAACATCTGTTGCGCGTGCCTGGCCCGCTGCTGGGGCGCCGCGGAGACCAACGTGTCGTGCCCGCAGTGCCGGGAGACCTTCCCGCAGCGCCACATGCGGCCCAACCGGCACCTGGCCAACGTGACCCAGCTGGTGAAGCAGCTGCGCACCGAGCGGCCGTCGGGGCCCGGCGGAGAGATGGGCGTGTGCGAGAAGCACCGTGAGCCCCTGAAGCTGTACTGCGAGCAGGACCAGATGCCGATCTGCGTGGTGTGCGACCGCTCGCGCGAGCACCGCGGCCACAGCGTGCTGCCGCTGGAGGAGGCGGTGGAGGGCTTCAAGGTAGGGCCGGGCCGGCGGACAAAGGGGCGGCCCAGGGGCAGCCCGGCCTGCTGCCGAGAAAATGGCGAGCCGGACGTGGGCCCACCCCCGTCATTTCCTCCCTGTCCGCTGCGGAGCTCCGCACTCAGACTGGAAGGAGAACCTGTAGCTGGCGAGGCCCGAGCGTCCCTCCTCCACCCGGGCTCCGGGCGCCGGGGTTAACTGTCCCAACGCACGCTGTGCGGACATGGCGCGAGGAGAGCCTCCCAGACAGACAGGAGTGAGCCACGTCCACTGGGGTAGCTTCGGTGCCCCTCTCGCTCACAGTTGCTCTGGCCGGTGATATCAGACCAAGCACTCGACGCTGACTGACTGTATTCTCATGCAATGCCCCTCACTTAGTCTGTGTCCCCAGTACTTCCCTGACACCCTCTTTTAGGAGCTAATGGAAATGAACAGAACTTTTTACTGCTTGAGTAAATCATTTAACCACCCCGACACTCGGGAGATAACACAGATATATGAAGATGAAGTCCTGTGGCGTGAAGAGGACTTTGTGAGATGTGGAATAAACACTGCACAGCTACACAGTAACAAGAAAATGTTACATGCAAAGTAGCTCTGAGGTGATGGTGAGGACATGATGCTGTGTCTTCTGTATTTTGATGATTGCAGGGATATATATATTATACACACACACACACACACATATATATATATATACACACACACTATTGTATTTGTTTAAATGTGAGTCACATCCACTGAGCTGTCTTCTGTATCATTTCACTCACTTATGATAATTAGTAGTTTGTAAAGGTGTGCTTGCTTACCCATGTCGGAAATGAGGAGAATTAGTCTTTGTGTCTGGAAGAGCTACACTGTAACTTCTGAGCCTCCTTGCCCAGTTACCTCAAAAAGCTGTGCAGCATCCTTCCAGGAACTGGTATGTAGCTCAGTTTAAGAAACAAATTGATTCTCCCGGGCTTGGTGGTGCACACCTTTGATCCCAGCACTCAGAGGCAGAGGCAGGTGGATCTCTGTGAGTTCAAAGCCAGCCTTGTCTGCATAGCGAGTTCTGGGCCAGCTGGAACTACAGGAAGGCCCTGTCTCAAAAAGATGAAAAAAAAAGAAGAAACACAAATTGCCAAAGGAGAGCCATGGTGGCCCCTGTGCTTTGGGCTCTTCCCAGAGGTGGCAATGTCTCTAAGGACAAGGTCCAGCCTCATACTTGGTGTCAGTAGTCTGGGTTCATATTTGATAAACAGAATAACCTTTCTGATGCTGAGGTCTGTATAATCTTGAACTAACTACTCAACTATTTGTTTTCTTCAGGAACAAATCCAGAATCAGCTGGACCATCTAAAACGAGTAAAAGACTTGAAAAAGAGACGACGAGCACAAGGGGAGCAGGCACGAGCCGAACTCTTGGTAAGAGTTGTTGGACTTCACAGATAGCATCCTACACTCTGCTAATGAAGATGACTCTTTGTTGACTGCCTCAGGCCTGAATTTTTCACTGCTTTCTGCAGTCTCCCAAGGCTTTGTGCAGATTCCAATAGGAGAACTGTGGGTTTTTTGTTTGTTTTGTTTTGTGTGTGTTTTGTTTTTTTGTTTTTTCTTCTTTTTTAGATAGGGTCTCCTTGTACCCCCAAATGGCCTGGAACTCCCTATGTAGACCAGGCTAGCCTTGATCTCACAGAGATCTACCTGCCTCTGCCTCCCAGGTACTGGGATTAAAAGTGTACACCACCACACCCATTCAAAGGTGAGTTGTTTTTTAAAAAACAAAAGTTGAAGAGACTTTTATTACACATTGAATATAGGCATCCAAGTGTTAAAGTTTTGGAGGGGGCTGAAGAGATGGCTCAGCAGTTAAGAGCACCAGCTGCTCTTGTAGAGGACCTGGATTGGATTCCCAGCACCCATATAGTGGCTAACAGCCATCTGTAACTCCAGTTCCAGAAGAATCCAACGCCTTCTTCTGACTTTTTGGGCATTGCACAGCACAGGTGCACTTACACACATGAGGCAGTATACTCATACAATAAAATAAAAATTAAAAACCATTTTTGAACAGTAAATAAAATATCTAATGTTCACTCTTTAGAGGTATTTGCTTCTGAAAAATATACTTCTAAACTGCTGTGATAATCCTGTAAGAAATTTCCTCAGAAATTTGGAAGACAACCTTTCTCTCAAAATTGAGGGCCCTGTGTTTGCTTCTTAACTCCATCACCAGCCAGTTGTTTAGATGGAGAGAGTGATGCAACCTCTTGGATGCAACTTCTTGACCTTAATTTCCTTGTATTTCTAAGATTATGTTGTATGGTTTTTGCCTTTGAAAGACCCAGGTATGTTATGAAAAGGGTTTCTAAGCCAAGGGGGTGTGTGTGTGTGCCACGCGCACATGCATACGTACACTTGCGCTATGACGTTGTCTACAAATTACATAAGGAGTTGGTTAGAGGAGTGGTCAGCAAGGTATGTCTCTTGGAGCAGGTGTTCAGATCAGGTTTGGCAAACTTTCTCAAAAGGGCCAATAGTATTTTTAGCTTTGTAGGTTTCTACAAGCTGTGTTATAACTAGACATCTCTGTTACTGTATCTCAAAAATAACTTGTGATGGGTTTGGCCCAATTCCAGTAAAATGTTACTTGACTGTTCTAGAGCCATTTGCTGACCATTTATTTATTTAGAAACAGTTTCACTTTGTAGCCCAAGATGGTCTTGAACTCTCAGTATTCCTGCTTTAGCCTCCCAAGTGCTGGAATTGCGGGTGTGCACCACTATATTTAGAACTATTGGTTTTGGGTTTTAATGTGTATGAGTATACTGCCTGCATGTATGTATGTGCACCCCTTGTTCTGCCTGTGGATGTCAGAACCATGTGGGTGCTGGGAATCAAACCCTGTTCCTCTATAAGAGCAACTAGCGCTCTTAACTGCTGAGACAGAGTCTCCTGTAGCCTAGTTTGACCTCATATTCATTATGTGACTAAAGATGACCTCAACTCCTGACCCTCCTGTCTCTCTCTTCCAAGTGCTGGGATTACAGGCTTACACTAGCTCACCTAGCTCTAGACCAAAATTTTAGTAACCTCCTGACAGTGGAGGGATTGAGTGGAGAAGGAAGGACAGACAAGCTGTGACAGAATAAGTCTACATGGAGGGGGAACCAAGAGAAAACCACCTTTCCTAATAACAAACACATGAGCACCCCTGAAAACCAGAGGGCGTACATTACATATGAAGGGCCAAAGTAAATAAATCTAGGAAACTCCTAGGTTGTTCTACATGACATATCCTTGACCATATCACTTTCTTATGTGCCTTAAAGGACCATCTTTCACAATTCTCAGCTCATCAGGCAAAGTATGATCTGATCTCTTCTTTGAGCACTCCAGTCACGCAGGACCATGTGCTTCTCTGTATGTATGAGTGTAATTCCTGCATGTAGGTTGCTGCATCCATGTCTTGCAGTGCCTGTGGAGGTCAGAAGAGGGCATCAGATCCTCTGGAACTTGCAGTTATGGACAGTTGTCAGCCACCATGTGGATGCTGGGAATCGAACCCAGGTCCTCTGCAAGGGCAGTCAATGCTCTTAACTGCTGAGCCATCTCTCCAGCCCCTTGTTTTTTTTAAGACCAGGTTTCACAATGTTGCCCTGACTGCCTTAGAATTTACTATGTAGACCAGGCTGACTTCAGACTCATGAGATCTGCCTGCTTCTGCCTCCCAAGTGCTGGGATTAAAGACACATGTATCACCATCCTTGGCTGAGGTACTGTTTCTTAGCTATCACTGGAGTAAGACAGTTCCTGGTCATTGTGTCTCTGGTGTATGAAGACCAGAGGAAATGAGAGAGAATACAGTGCTTGTTTTAGTATGAGATGAAATGTTGACATCTTGGGATAAGTCATTAGGACTGTGAAGGGTGTGAACCTTTCCTCTTCATTGCCCTTGCTTGTCATTTGTATAGAGTCTGACCCAGATGGAAAGGGAAAAGATCGTTTGGGAGTTTGAGCAGCTGTATCACTCTTTGAAGGAACATGAGTATCGCCTCTTGGCCCGCCTGGAGGAGCTAGACTTGGCCATCTACAACAGCATCAATGGTGCCATCACCCAGTTCTCCTGCAACATCTCCCACCTTAGTGGCCTGATTGCCCAGCTGGAAGAGAAGCAGCAGCAGCCTACCAGGGAGCTCCTGCAGGTAACCAAGAGAGCTATTCAGGACAGGGCAGCTTTCACCTTTGTTAGGCAGCATCCAGGATTCCTGTCTCCTTGTTAACTGCTGGAGAAGCAAGGGCTTGCCAAGCTCAGTATTCCGTATTTTGGAAAGAAAACCTGTACGCTAGAAATTGTGACTGACACAGCTTGGTTCATTAGTTTCACTGTATCATGGAAAGAGCAAAAGATCTCCTCTTTGGGCTTGCTCTGCAGTAAGTGGTCTGATCATGGGCAAGGCTCTCTTTGGGCCTCAGTGATCTCATTTGCTTGTGATATAATGAGGCACTTGGACTGCATCATTTAAAGATCTTCCATTATCCTGTCTTTTTAATATATACATGTATATTACCAGAGCCAAAAGATATCAAATATAGAGCAGGCATGGTTAGCCTGAGAGTTGTTGTGATGCATACAAGTATGAAAGCCACAGCCCTCACAGGGCAAGACTGCAGTAGATGAGCGACTGTCTGCCTACCTGCCATTGCTTCCTTTGGTACATGGGGTTGTCTACTTTAGTCAGGAACTGATCTAGGCACTGGAATTAAGTAGTGGGTAAATAAGCTTTCTTTGTTTATGCTCTGTTTCAAAGTTGAGATGAAAAGTGAATAATTATCACAGATGTTGTTAAATGCTATTTAAAAGGGGTGATGGACTAGAACAAAGTGAACAAAATTATGGTCTACCATTGTTTCTGTTTGTGTTGGGAACTAAGTAGGTTTTTCTATTTTAAGATGCTTGGGAAAAATGAGAAAAATTATTTTATGAGATGAAATTAAGATTCAGTGCCTGTTCAAGGGTGGTTCACAAGTTGGAAGAAACTGCACTGACCACAGGATCACCCATGGATATCTGTTTGTCTGCCATTCCTGTCTGACCTTTGACCCATGTTCACAAGTTTCTTGGTAATCTTATGAATCAGCCCAGACAATTTGTTAGACCACAATTTCATGTCATCATGCCTATACTATGTAAACCCGTAGAAGAGAGTAGAGAGAGATAACACTGAATGTGGTACTGGAGTCCTTGGATCCAGTAAAATGTGCTCCAAATTATTAAGTGATGTGCTTGCTGACCTGGGTCAGAGGTCTCCATATTAATATTAACAGAATTATTTATGCAAAACTGAATTTCCCCACAGCTTTAAACTGAGGAGAAGTATTCCGAATCTGTCCCTACCTTGACATAGCACTGTTACAGCTTATGGAAACATGAAGCACATGCCTGGAAATGTGTGTCTGTATGGTGAGCTGTGGGCTCCAGTTACCAGATATGTGAAAGTGATTTCCCTTCTAGTGCCTGGCCCCTGCCATTGGAGAGGACCATTTTCATTCTCAGAATGTTATTTCCGTTGGGAATGCTAATTCATAGGGATACAAACTAATGGGAATCTGTTGGAAGGCTAGACTGTTTCCCAATATATTTTATTAAGCATGACTTTGAAAAACAAAACAAAACCAAAAAAAGATTCAGTGCCTGGCCATCCAGGCATGGTGGTGCATCCTTTAATCCCAGCACTTTAATCCCAGGCAGAGGCAGGTGGATCTCTGAGTTTGGGGCCAGCCTGGTCTCCATAGGGAATCCAGGCCAGCTGGGGCTACAGGGAGACTTTGTCTCAAAAAGACCAAAAAAAGAGGCTGGAGAGATGGCTCAGCTGTTAAGAGCACTGGCTGCTCTTACAGAGGACCCAGGTTCGATTCTCAGCACCCACATGGCAGCTAACAACTGCACATAGCTCTAGTTCCAGGGGAATCCAACGCCTTCTTCTGACCTCTATGGGCATTGCACAACATGGGTTCACTTACACACATGCAGGCAATACACTTGTAAACATAAAAATAATAATAAAGTATTAAAAAAAAATAAGAGTCAGTGTCTGTATGTTACTAATCACAGCCATGCTCATTCGTTGTTATGATCCCTCACTGCTCCTCCACTACAACAGCAAAACTGTATAGCTTATGATGCCTAAGCTGTTTAAGAAAAGGTTTACTGACCTGTTTTAGCGTAAGGGAAAAGGCTTAAGCCTTAATGAATGTAGCTTTTGTTGCTAGGGAAAGAAGGAAGAGCTTGTAAAGGGGGCTGCTAACCTGTGAGGTATGATGACTAGGAAGGTGGAAGTGGGTGACAATCTAATGCTGTTAATGCCAAATAATTTCAGAGCTAATAACCATTTGGTTTTAATATGTGGCCACCATTGATGACCTTATGTAGAACTGACTAGGTGAGGGGAATAGAGACTGTCAGAGTAGAGGATTATTTCAAGGGTGGTGATAGAGAAGATTCTTAGAGGTGAGATTTCTGTGGCTTTATCTGGAGAAGATGCTTAAAGAAACGGGTTAAACAAATTTTGAAATTAGGGTGGGGATTTTGTGGTAAGGATCTGGGTGAGAACATGTGGGAGCTGTGGGCCATCAAAGTATGTTCTTAAGAAGGCAGATGGGGGCGCTGGAGAGATGGCTTAGCGGCTAAGAACACTGGCTGTTCTTGCAGAAGACCTGGGTTCGAATCCCAGCACTCACATGGTAGCCAATAACTGTTCGTAACTCCAGTTCCAGGGAATCCGACGGCCTCTTCTGTCCTCTGTGGGCATTATACGACACGGTGAACTTACCTACATGCAGGCAATGCACGCATACACATAATAATAATAATTTTTTTTTTAAAGGCAGGTGGGAATAGGAGCTAAAGCATGTGTGCTTTCAATAGATTCTTTGTTATGTGGGAATGAATTCTTTCAGCATATGGGAAAGCCTTTGGCTCTGAGGCAGGTTGGATTATTTAGTCACTGATCATTTATTTGTTGGACAATTCTGCCCTTGTGGCTGACATTTTCTGCTCTGCCTTCTCATCTTGTGCTCTTGTACATGCACTGAGAAACATATTTGGGTCTATTCAAGGTTGGTATTTTTTGAATATGAAATATAAATTTCACCATTTCAAAATGTACACCTCTGTGGCACATAAATAGCACTTAGTAAGTTCAATTATCAACTATTATCTAGATCCAGGACACTTTTATCATTCCATTCCATTCCATTAAGTAGTCCCTTCCACCTCTGGTCCCTGGCTCTACAATTTTTTATATTCTGGATACTGGATAAAATCATACAATACGTAGACTTTTTTTCTTGCTTTCACTCAGCTTAATTTTTTCAATATCCATATTACAGCATGAAATTTCTTTTTATAGTTTTAGTGTATGGATATATAATACTTATTTTTGAGACAGGGTCTTTCAATGTAGCTCTGGATGGTCTGGAACTCAATATGTAGACCACGCTGGCCTCAAACTCACAGAAATCTGCCTGCCTCTGCGTCTCAAATGTTGGGACTAAAGGTGTATATCACCTCACCTGATACGTTTTGGAGAAGTATATTGGGGTTCTGTTTGGATTTTGAAGGATGTTTTGTTTGTTTGTTCTCATGTATGTAAGTGTTTGGCCAGCATGCAGTGCCTCTGGAGGCTAGAAAGAGCATCAGATCCCTGGAACTGAAGCCTCCATGTGGGTGCTAGGAACCAAACTCAAGCCCTCTATAAGAACAAGTGCTCTTAAACACAGAACCATCTCTCCCATGAGGTTCAGTTTTAGTCTTTTGCCTGAGACAGGGTTTTGCTATATTGCCCAGGCTAGCTGAAAATTTAAGCTCCTGCTTTGACCTCCCAAATGCTAGGGTTACATGGCCTTAACCACCACACCCAGCATATGAGTGTTTTTTTTTTTTTAATATATGACCATGAAATTGAAGCTAGATGTATGAAAATAAAGAATCGGGGATCATGGATTCAGTAAAGAGGAGGAGTGATGTCTGGAGTGTTTGGAAATGTAAGCTATACAGAGGTCAGAAAAAGTATAAATGTCCCACAATCTACTTCTGTTTAACCTTTTTTGGTCTTTAAGACAAAGTCCTGTATTGTCCAGGATGGCCTCAAACTTACCTTCTATATCCATTTCCCAAGTGCTGGAATTGCAAACTTGTTTCAAATTTTATTAAAGTTTTAACCAATTGAGTTAGATAAGAGACAGCAAAGTCATAAGAATTGGAAAAAAGCTGCCATGGTGGCTCAAGCCTGTCATTTCAGCACTTCTGAGGCTCATCAGGACTGCTGTGAGTTGAATGCCAACATGGGCTTCAGAGTAAGACCCTGTCACTTGGAAGGTAAAGGTAGGAGAATGAGGAATTAGAACCAAATATCCTATAGGAAGATGGGCAAAAGACACAGATGGGCAAATTATAAAAATATATAAAGTTAGTCCTTGAATGTAAGAGAGGTACTTGCACTTACAAGAAAAATGCCAATTAAAACTATACTAAGGTCCCCTTTACTAGTCAGCAAAGTGTTCTTGGTGTTGTTAGAAGTGCTGGTGGGAATGCCAAGTTATAACACCCAAGTGTGACAATGTGTAGCAAGGTGATTTGCTCTGACATTGTAAGCGCAAGATATTTGAAATAATCTAACTTTCAAAACTAGAAGATTGATTTAGTCAGTTAAGCACATGTATAGCAGAATACCATGCAACTATAAAAAAGAAGACAGGTAGGTAACTGAAAGGCCTGAAGTGGTGACTCATCCCTTAATCCCAGCACTCCCGGAGGCAGAGTAAGTGGATCTCTGAGTTCCAGGCCAGCTGAGGCTATATGGTAGAAACCCAGTTTTTTTTTTTTTTTTTTTTTTTTTTAAAGTGTGAGCTAGTTTTGCAAAAGACTTGTTGTAGTCTGAAGTTGTGCAAGGCCCTACATTCAATCTATAGTATTATACTAAAAAAAAGGTGCTGAAGAAATAGCACTGGCTGCTCCTGCAGAGGACCTGGGTTTGCTTCCCAGCACCCATACTAACAACCGTCTGTAACTACAATTCGAGGGGATCCAACACCCTCTTCTGACGTCCTTGGGCATTGCACGACACAGGTGCACTTACATACATGCAGGCACTGCACTCATACACATTGAATAAAAATAAAATATTTTTTAAAAATAGGAAAAGAAAAGGGTATATACTCTTAATCCCAGCACTCCAGATACAGAGAGATCAAGGCCAGTCTTGCCTGCAAAGAGTTCTATATTGGCTGGGGCTATAGGAAGACCTGTCTTTAAAAGAAAAAAAAAAAAAAAAAAAAAAAAAAAAAAAGGCAAATACATTTTGTCAGTAGGTGGTTTTTTGTTTGTTTGTTTGAGACATGGTCTCACTGTGTAATCCCAGCTGGCCTGGAACTCACAGAGATTTGCCTGCCTCTGCCTCCCAGAGTATTGGAATAAGAAGCGAGTGCCACCACACCTGAAGAATGCCAAATCTTTTTTAAAAAAATATTTTATGTATTATTTTTATTTTGTGTGTTTGAGTGTATTGCTGTGCATGTATATAAGTGCACCCATGTTGTGCAGTGCCCTCGGAGGTCAGAAGAGAGCTTCAGATTCCCCTGGAACTGGAGTTACAGTTGTTAGCTGCCATGGGGTGCTGGGAATCAAATCTGGGTCCCCTGCAAGAACAACTAGTGCTCTTACTTGATGACCCATCTCTCTAGCCTGCAGAATGTCAAATCTTAAGGGGAATGTTTGTTAAAAATTGAAAGTGTCACTTTTTACACTAATTACAAAATGAAAAATTTTAACCAATGGTCAAAAATCAGTATTACCAACTGTTCTACTTAAGGGTGCGTGCCCTGGATTACCCAGGGTCAGACTGATGGTGATAATTGAGAAGAATATTAAGACAGTTGATTAAGTTAGAATATGGATGATTGAGCTCAATGTTCAATTTCCTGATTTTTATAACTATTGGAAGTTAAGTAAGAAAACATACTGTTCTGAAAAGGTAGAAGGTAAACAATGACTTCCCAAATGGTGCTGAAGATATATTAACCATTTATACATAAGATGTATTCTAAGAGAAAAATAAAATGATAAATTAGATGAGCAATTAAAGGGTAATAAACATGGGGGGTAAGTACACAGGAGTTCTTTGTACAAGTGGCTATTCTGAGGGCTAGAGAGATGGCTCAGCAGTTAAAAGCACTGACTGCTCTTGCAGAGAACCCAAATTCAACCCAGCACCCACATGGCAGCTAACAATCATCCATAACTCCAGTTCCAGGGGATCTGACACCTTCTGACCACGGTGGGGATTGAATGACACAGGTGCACTTATATGCATGCAGGCAATGCACTCATACACGTAAAATAAAATAATAAATAAAATATTTTTTTTAAAAAAACAAGTGGCTATTCTGTATATTTGAAATTATTTCACAACTTTAAAAAAAGTCCACTAAACTGGCTGGCAGCTGAGACTCGAGAGTAGAATGCCTGAGTTAGTACCATTTCCTCTGCCTGATTTCCAGGTCCTCGAGGCTGAATTATGTCCTGGTGAATTTTGTTTGTGCTGTCTCCCAGAAGAGTTGTGCCATAGTTGAGTTTTCAGTGAATGTCCGTGAAAGAAAACTCAAGTTGCACGTAACTTCTAATTACCCTTTTCTTTTCTCTTGTAGGATATTGGAGACACATTGAGCAGGTACTGTTTTCCATCCTTAAGGTGTCAAATCAAGACTGTCTCAGCTCACAGTTGTAAACCCTAAGAGGAGACAGGGCCTCAGAAATAGACGTCTTAGTGAATGGCTGGCTGTCACTAAAGTCTCTGGTACAAAGGAAGCTAGAGGAACCTTAGTATCCTTAGTAAAGCTTTGGAATGTTGACTTGTTGTGATGTTGGGATGGGGGAGGGTTGGATCTAAGAAAACTGTGGTTTAGGTATGAGGACACAGCAGGACTTAGAGGAACTTGATGAGAGTACAGGGGTCGATTATGACTTGTTTCCTTTAAGTTTCGGAATCTTTCCCATTTTGTTACCTCATTCATTAATATGGAGGAACAGTCTAAGGAAGGTATGACCAACATGAAGTTTTATGATTACTGATGAGTAACGTGGATTCTGGCTCTAGTTATTGAGTACTGTGCCATCAAATGGAAAGGAGGAGAACTGAGCATGTAACTCAGTGATATAGCATGAGCTTGGGTGTGCAGGGCCCTGGGTTTCATCTCTAGCACCAGAAATTGAGGAAAGAAGAGAGGGAGAAAGATGAGATGAGATGAGGAAAGAGGAAAAATTTGGAGTGAGCAAGAAGCCAAGACACTTATATTTGCTAAATAAATGTTTCGAGCAGAGGGGGCTAGGCTTTGGGAAAATTGTGTTTAGTGTGAAAGTACAGGAGTCAGAACTGACTTTAAGGGAATTAGACTTGGAAGTTGATTAAAATCTTAAACATTGAAATCCTTCAAATGAATATATTTGATTGGTTGGCTTGAAAATTTCTGTAGATAGAACTGGTTCTCAGGAGGTGATTTGGAGATAATAACAGTCTTATCCAGTTAAAAGAAGACTAATATCTGCTAAATTTTTGGTTTTTTGAAACAAGGTCTCACAAAGGGAATTCAAAATTTCATTGACATAAAGTTTAAACATTATAAAAAATTTTGTAAGATTGGCACATGCCTTTAATCCCAGCACTTGGGAGGCAGAAGCAAGTGCTCTACATAGTGAGTTCCAGGACAGCTGGGACTACAGGGAGACCCTGTCTCAAAAACACCACAAAGAAGAAAAAATTGTAAGAAATGTATAGTTAGTTCTACAGCTGGTATGATGGCTCCAAGATTCTGATTTCTTCCCATTCATTGTTTTACTGTCTCTGAAGTGTGATCTTCATTTAGACCACGGTCTTGTTAGAATGCCAGTGAGGAAAAAGAAGATGAGCATCACCCTGCTTTTGAAGCAGATGTAAAGAAAAAATTTTACATTTATTTGTATGTGTGAGCATGTGCACGTCATGACATGCGTAGAGATCAGAACCCAGCTTGTGAGTAGGGAGGGGCATTTGTTCTCACTTTCCACCACGTAGGTTCCAGGGACTTGTACTCAGGTTGCCAGGCTTAGCAGTAAACACCCTTACTTACTGAGCCATCTCCCTGGCCCCTTTAAGGAGATTTTGGAAAAATAACATTAGCTGCTTCTTAACCTCTCCTTAGCTAGAACTCAGTCACAGGGTCACATGTAGCCACAGAGGAGACTGGCCAGTCTTAAGATTTGGAAGATGGGAGAAGGACTATTGGTAGGCAAATTTTTGCTGTAGAATTCCTTATAGTGGTTAGGGAATTGTCTCATCATCCACAGAGTGCCTCTTCGTCTAAAGACGGTAGTCTTTCCATGTTTAAGAACCAGAAGATTCTAGAAAATTGCCCACTGTAAATATCAAGTATTTTTGCTTTCTGTCATGATTAGCCCTGTAATTCTTTTCAATTTTGAAGGCTTTTCTGTTTGTTTGATTAATTTTGAGGTTCTTGAAACTGGCACTAGTTATGTAGCCCTGGCTGTCCCCAAACGAGCTATGATCCTCATGCCTCTGCCTCCCAAGTCTTAGAATTACACATATGAGCACCATACCCCTCTGAAGACTTGCTATTTGTAAAGCTATAGCTAAATGCTTTGGGGAAAATGAAAATGAATAAGAGTGTATCTCTTGTAATTTAGAGCATTAGAGTCTATGGGGATTTTTTTAAAATTTATATTTTATTTTTATGTTAATCTGTGTATTTGGTTGCTTGTGTGTAAGTGCACTGTGTGTGCAGTGCCAGTAGCAATGAGAAGACATCAGAACTCCTGGAACTGGAGTTACTGATGGCTGTAAGCTGCCAGGTACAACTGGGTGCTGGGAACCAAACCCAGGTCCTCTGCAAGTAAGCAACAAGTACTTTTAACTTTGGAGCCATCTCTCCAGCCCCAAGATGAGGAGATATAAAAAGCTACAGCAGTAATATGCCCACCTATTTTGAACAGTTTAGCCTGGGCCCTGGCCTGGCCTGAAAGGCTGGGGAATTGGGAAAGGGAATCACTTTTTTTTTTTTTTTTTTTTTTTTTTTTTTAAGGGCTGAAAGAATCAGGATTCCTGAGCCCTGGATCACGCCTCCAGATCTACAAGAGAAAATCCATATTTTTGCCCAAAAATGTCTATTCTTGACAGAAAGTCTGAAGCAGTTCACAGGTAATATGAGGAGAGGAAGTGGATTTATATTCTGAATATCTGTGTATTATCTGAGGATGTGTTTTTCAACCAGATAGAGTAACATAAATAGAATCTCTTCTCTTTCTATCTTTAGAAAAAATGCAGTCAGATATGGAGAAAATCCAAGGTAAATTTATCTACTTATGGGGCTCTTGATGTTGGGAGTTTCTTGGGTCTGCTGAGCATTTGTATTGAAAGTCCAGGAAGGCATGCAAGATGACTCAGTAGGCAAAGACACTTGCTGCAAAAGCCTGGTTATCTGAGTTTGATATCTGGAACCTACATAAAGATGAAAGGAAAGAAGCCTCCAAAGAGTTGTCCTCTAACCTCCACACATGCACCATGACATGTTCCCCCCCAACCTCCATCATACGTGCATACACATATACACAATAATAAAAAGTTTGGGGTTGTTGTTATTTTGTTTGTTTATTTTTGAGACAGGGTCTCCCAGTAGCCATAGCTTGCCTGGAACTCACCTACAAGGGTTAGGGTAGATCTCACTGAGATCTACCTCCCAAGTGCTGGGATTAAAGGCGTGTGCCAACACACCTAGCCTATTATTTTAGAAAAGAAAAACATGGAGAAATGAAATGGGTGTTGCCCATGGGCAAGAATGTCCCTGCTATTTTATAGCTTCGCTTTATTTTGTTTTAAGTTTTGTTGAACAGTCTTAATATGTAGCCTAGGCTGGCATACTACTCTCCTGCTTCAGCCCCCGCCCCCAAATTCTGGGATTATAAGCATATAGTACCACACTGGGCTACAACTCCATTTAATACAGTGGTTAATAACCAGAAGTGATTAGTTCAGACATGGCTTTCTTTGGTGTGACTCCATTTACTTCTGCTCTTTCACCACTTCAAAGTCTCATGTGAAATGCTGGGGCAACTGTAAAATCCCATATAAATTCAAAGAGGCAGTGGTTGTCACTTGAAGCACCCAGCCTCTGGAGAAGAGATAGTTCAGTTTGTACAAGTCAGGAGTTGTATATGGCATATATGAGCTTTTTTCCCTGTACAGAGCCAGGTGACTCTGAAGAGAGGGGTTCTTGATCTTAGCTCAGTCAGATAATGTTCTACCAAGTTCACACATGAAGTTACCTTTGTAACCAAGGTTTCCAAGCCCCTCTTCCCTTAAAATCCTTGGGTGAGCCAAGTATGGCGGTACATGCCTATAAGCTTAACACTTGGAAGGCTGAGCAAGAATGATTGTCAGGAGGTAAGGGCCAGCCTGAGCTACATAGTGAGTTCTAGGCCGGCCTAGTGTTACAGAGCAAAGAATGAAAAAGTAGGTTAACAGGGGTTCTGAAATTTTAATGGAGACTACTGCTTTATGAAGACTAACCAAATTGCTTTCAATTAAATATTTCTTAGAAAGACCCACAACTTCTGTAACTTCTTTTTCTTCTTGTTGTTTCAGAATTGAGAGAGGCTCAGTTATACTCAGGTAGGTGATGGAAGACAGAACCTTGTCAGAGAAAGGAATAAAAACCCTTTGAACCTAACCACTATTGTGAATGGTTTGAGACTCTGCTAGAGTTTGGATCCTTTAATTACATATGTACAAATAGCATACAGTTAGAAACCTATGGTTGCTTCTGTGTATTTACAGTACCTTTGCCACTAGAAGTGCTTCATACCTAAGCCACAAGGGTAAATCAACTCTGAAGTTATGAAGAATTGTAGAGTGGAAACATGGTTCCCCAAAAGTAGAAAAATTCTACTATAGTACATACCTTCCCACCTAGTATCTGGGGCAACATTCTATTTGCCAGAAACAGGAGTGATTGAGTTCAGCTCTTATTTTGAGTGTCAGAGTCTAGGAATCTTAGCCATTTGTCACTGTGCTCTGGGAAAAAGCTAACAACCCCTAGACATCCAGTCTCACCTCATGATTTAGGCACTGGGTCAGTCTGGTGTCCAGAGAATTCAAATCCAAGGTGTATTTATGTCCTTCCCATCTTCAGTTACTAGGTCTTCCTTCATTGGGACAAAGGCTATGATGCCTATTTGGTTCTTTAAGTATTACTTGAGTACTTCACTGTGTCCTGTCCAGGCTAAAATGTAAGATGCTTTAGAGAAAAAGAGTTTAAGACACTCTCCTGCCCTTGGAGTTTTTACCTATGACACAAGAAAGATAAATTGGGGCTGGATGTATAGCTCGTTGATAGAGTATACTTAGTGGGTATGTGAAGGCCCTTTGTATAATCTCTAGTACCAAAAGAAAGTAGACGAGGGGTAGATGGATGGCTAATGTGGACAAATTGTTGAAACAAGGGTACTGAGGTTCTTCACCTTGCCACGTGACCTGTTGTAAACTTCTGGGAGGGAAAGATTTGGTCTGACTAGGTTTTGCTTTCTGAGAGGTCATGCTTGGGAATCACCTTCTGAGGAGGATGAGAGACTACATAACATTCCAGCTTTTAAAGCTGGAAGGCAACACATGACTATAAGGCCAATAGTACCTGATACCAGAGAGGAGAGTGAGTGGTCAGTGGTGGTAGACTGGAAAGCTGGAAGGTAATTGAGTGAGCTGCTTGAGAAAAGTTGAGGAAAGGGGATATGGTGATGCCTAAAATCCCAGAAGTTGGGAGACCGAGTCAGGATCAGAAGTTCACTTCCATTTCTGACTATATAGTGAGTTTAAGGCCGAGACCTCTGCTCTACATGAGGCCATGTCTCAAAAAGAAAAGGGAAGAGGAGGCCAGCCACTCTGTGAAGGGGCTGATCTCTGAATTCAAGACCAAACTGGTCCACATATTGAGTTCCAGGCCAGCTGGGCCTACAGGGTGAACCTGTCTCAAAAAGACCAGAAATAAAAAATAAAAATAAATAAAATGGAAGAAAAAATTATGATTTGAATATGCAAGGTAGAATCTCAGAAGTAATGAAAGAATGATTTCAAAGGTGGCAAATTGGTACATATTATTAGTACCTAACCACAATTCCAAACTTAGATATCTAAAAGCAAAAAAAATTTTGTTGGTTTTCAGCAAATTCATTAAAAAATAGTAAAACCTGAGTTTATGGGAATAGAGCCTTTATCCTACACAGTGTGACCAGTGCAGATCTGTTAATGTTTAATTGCATAGTGCAGTGCTAGAATCTATAATAATTGGATTTCTTCAAAACTTATAGCCACCAATGAATGCTTTTTAGATTCAGAGATTGTGGACATGTTAAAAAAAAAAAAGCCTCAGATTTAGTCTTTGATGGATATTAGGCCTTAAGATGTGAAAGAGAAGGAAAGAGGATAAAATTTTAGTCTGTTCACTGTTACCATCAACACAGAAGGAAGTAATCGTCTAATCCAACAATAATTCTTTTTGTTTTCAGATAGGATCTTGCTGTATATCATTGGCTGTGTTGCCCAGGCTGTTCTGGAACTCATGGCAATCTTCTTGTCTCAGGCTTCAAGTGCTACTGTTACAGGAGTATGCCACCATGCTTAGTTCAAAAATAATTTCTGAATGTGAATTTTTTTGGTCTTTTTGAGACAAGAGACCCTGTACCCTCAGCTGGCCTGGAACTTGCTATATTGACCAGACTGGCCTTGATGTCACAGAGACCCACCTGCCTCTGCCTCCCAAGTGCTGAGATTAAAGGTGTGGGCCACCGTGTCCAGCTGAAATGTGAATTTTAAGATGCGCTTGATGTCACCTCTAGTGGGAGCTCTTAAATTGTTCCAGGAAAGTAGGAGAGACTAGGTGTTCTTGAATGGGCTCTTCTGGCTGTCAGCTGACCCTCCCCTCTGTTTCTGCAGTGGATGTGACTCTGGACCCAGACACAGCCTACCCCAGCCTGATCCTTTCTGATAATCTGCGGCAAGTACGATACAGTTACCTCCAGCAGGACCTGCCTGACAACCCTGAGCGGTTCAATTTGTTTCCCTGTGTCTTGGGCTCTCCATGTTTCATCGCTGGGAGACATTACTGGGAGGTAGAGGTGGGAGATAAAGCCAAGTGGACCATAGGTGTCTGTGAAGACTCAGTGTGCAGAAAAGGTGGGGTGACGTCAGCACCCCAGAATGGATTCTGGGCAGTGTCATTATGGTATGGGAAAGAGTATTGGGCTCTTACCTCCCCAATGACTGCCCTTCCCCTGCGGACCCCCCTCCAGCGAGTGGGGATTTTCTTGGACTATGATGCTGGTGAGGTGTCCTTCTACAATGTGACAGAGAGATGTCATACCTTTACTTTCTCTCATGCTACCTTCTGTGGGCCAGTCCGGCCCTACTTCAGCCTGAGTTACTCAGGAGGGAAGAGTGCAGCTCCTCTGATCATCTGCCCTATGAGTGGGATTGATGGGTTTTCTGGCCATGTTGGGAATCATGGTCATTCCATGGAGACCTCCCCTTGATGATGCGAACTCAGACCACAAGGGCTCTTGGCAGTAATCCTACCCCAGGCACAAGGCATCTTTCTGTCTTGTCAATTCCTGTCCATCAAAGCTGGATGTCCTTACCATTTTCCATGTCCTTGAATGAAGAGACAAGATGTTCATGGTCTCTACTATCTCTTCCCCTGCAAATTGTAAGATGTAATGAAAAGTATTGAGATTTCCCAGAAATAAAAACCAGATTGCTCCTCCAGTGTCTCACATCGTTTGGTTTTACATGTGACTGGAGTGGATGAAGAATATGGATACTTGGCTTTGGAGAGCCACTCAAGATCCTAACATGCTGGCTCAGTTCCACATAGTCATCAAGGTGTTTTCCATCATTTTTGGACTATGGCTCCCTTCTGAGAACCCAGAATGGATTCTAAGAATCCACAGGCTGTGTCATAATGACTTGCTTTACTCTGGCTTTTCCTTCTTGGAAAATTTCCAATTTGTTTTATCAACTCCATTAATGAGGCCTATATGTGTTTTGGTTATAGTTGTTTTATACAAATGGTAAGAAATGGCTCCACCTATATTGTGACATAATGTTATAACCAGTGTCTCTGCCTGTGTCTTTCCAGTGGCTTTGTTTGCTTCCTTCAAACTAATAAAAGATGTATCTTGGTGCTGGGTGCGTATCATCTGAGAAAATGTTTGCCCATCACTGTACCCCTAGGTCCTTTCTTTGGGGTGTACCAGTCACAGTCCCTCTTGGGCCACTTTACATCTCTTTGGGGTAGAGAATTGACTTTCCTAGTGTGCACCACTAGGGGAAATTCCATCCCATGGCTGTTGGTTGACAAAATGTTTCGGAGTTAGAGACTAAGACTTTTGAGTAAGCCCCCACCGTAGTTCTTAGTCCTGCCTCCCATTGGGTACATGCCCTACTGTTTAAAAATAAAAGTGAATATGGATGTTTATGTTGCAGTTCTTACTTGGGTATTGGGTGAAAAGTCATGGTAGTTGGGTGTCGATTTCCAAAGTGGATCCTGTTCTAGTTTCTCCATTGCTGTGACAAAATACTCTGACCAATACCAACTTGAGGAGGAAAGAGTTTATTTAGCTTACATTTCCCCAGTCATAGTTCATCAGAGAGCCCAAGGTAGGAACTCAGGGCAAGAACCTGGAGCTGGAGCACAGGCCATGGAGGAATGCTGCTTACTGGCTTGCTCTCTTGGCCCCTGCTCAGCCTGCTTTCTTACACAACATAGGCCCACCTGCCCAGGGATGGTACCACCCACAGTGGGCTGGGCCCTCCCACACCACTCAACAATCAAGAAGATGTCCCACAGACATGGCCATAGGCTAGCCAAAGAAGGAAGTTCCCCAATTGAGGCGCCCTCTACCCAGGTGTGTCAAGTTGACAACTAAAGCTATCTGGCACAAGTCCGTAATCCCCTCTGCCCAATGGTTTCCTTCCAAATAGGTGATAAAGCTACTTTCTCAATGCCCTGTCACTATTCCTAATGATGCTGAGAAAGAGTGTGGGAATATCCCTGGCCTGCAATCCTTACATTAGCTAATCCTGTCATTTCACTAGAAGAATATTGTCTCATGGTCTGTTTATATACTATTATTACTATTACTCTTGAGGGGGTTTGGTTTTGTTGTTTTTAAGACGGTTTCATGGAGCTCAGGCTGGCCTCAAACTTTTGATGGTCTTTCTGCCTGAGCCTTCTGGGTACTGTACTAGGATAACAGGCAGGAGCCACCATGCCCAGCTGGGCCTTTTCATTGGCTGTGGAATGATGCATCCCTGCCAACCCAAGCATTTGTGGGTAGGGTCACCATATACCTCAGATAAAAGATCAGACTGAGAGAATAGGTCCCAAGAATTTAGATCTTTTGTGCTTCTAGACATGGCCTCAAAATACAAGATTGTATGGTTATATACTCATTCCTGGTCTAGATTTCTACTGAATACTCTGATCTGACATAAATGCTTAGAATAACACATGTATTTGAAACACTACCAAGAAACACAGCAGTGCTTGACTCAGTATGAAGAGCTCAGCAACTTGTGAAGAGTGTACAATTGCCCTTACATTACAAACTGAAGCAAAAAGAGGGCCAATGACTTACGTAAGGTGTACAGGAGAACCAGGATTTAAGTGAACTCTAACATGGCCACATCAACTTCTGCCCCACTGTGTGTTGCTCTCTACATGGAAAATATGGAGCACGCATGGACTAATTCATTGAAGTGCTGATTCATTGACCTGGGATACCTGCCTTAAAACTACTATAGACTGGAAGAACTACAACTGGGTAATGGAACAGAGTCTTTCTCAAATTTGCACTTTTACTTAGTCCTTTGTAAGAGTAAAAGCTTACAAAGCGGACACTATACTAAGGAGTGGATCTGAGGAGACGTAGATCTCAGGGTCTACTTTATGTTCAGTAGACCTAGGGCAGTAGTTGCCACACCTTAGTGTACAAGAAGCAGAGCTGGAGCAGAGAGACAACCTGGAATTCAGGACAGTGAAGATGTGTCTATAAAGAATCTCGGGCCAGTGAGATAGCTCGGGAGGTAAATGCAAGCTTGGTGACCTGAGTTGATCCCTACAACCCATGTAAAGGTAGGAGAGAATTCCACAGAGCTCTGAACCAACAACGTAGAGATAGAAGAGAGTCAATTTCACAAAATTGTCCTCTGACCTCCACACATGGACCCTGGCATGCGTGCACATGTCCAAGCTTGTGCAGACACACACACACACACATTTCTAAATTTGGGGGTTAGCAAGCTTGACAACCTTAGTTTGATCCCCTGGACTCACATAGTAGAAGGACTCTGGCAATTTGTCATCTGACCTCCACAAATACTGGCACATGCATAGTCTCCCTGTCCCCCCAAAATATAAAAAGGTTTTAAGAATCTTTAAAGGTGCCAGGTGTGGCACACACTTTTAATCCCAGCACAGCACTCCAGCACTCGGAGGCAGAAGCAGGCGGATCTCTCAGTTCAGGCCAGCCTGGTCTACATAGTCATTTCCAGACCAGCTGGGTCTACAAGGAGACCATCTCAAAAAAGAACCTTTAAGGGTAAACCTTAATGCTCAGTGGATAAAGTATTGGTCATATCCTCTTAAGTAATACAACAAAAGATTACCATTACTTGACTACCACTTGTGTGGGAGATTGGGCAAAAGAAGAAAACCAAAAGTTCTTAGGGTGCTGGGTTTATGGGTATTTAAATTTAAGTTTTTAGAAACTGCCATTTTGAATGGGTTAAACGAACCTAAAACTAATATTGCATTTATCTGCAGAAAGGTAAGCAACCTTTAAGTCAGACAGGGACCACTAAAGGCAGACATGAAGATCAGTAACATTCTTTTAGTTCCTGCTGCTTTTCTGGAGCATCTGAAGTTAATATTATACTAGGGTTTCAGCAATTCTTAATTCTTTAGTTGCCACACAAAATTGTGTACACATATGTGGGTTGCACACACTCTTGTCTCAAGTGGCTCTTTTTTTTTTTTTTTTTTTCCTGCTATAGCATCTTCTCCAGTAGCAAAGGAGACCTAAAAGAGAAGTTCGGGAGATAACAGCAAATTAAAGCAAACATGGTCCCTGCCTTCTGAGGACATTTAGAAGAGAATGTTCAGAATAATTGAAAACCACACAAGGACACAGAAACTAAGGATGAAGAGCTGTCTGGTGGCTAATGAATGCCATTTTTACTGTAATTTGTTTCAAGTTCACACCAAAGGGTATATATAGAAAATTACCTCCCACAAAAACAAAAAAAGAAACCCCAATCTCAAAAGGGTCCTAGTGTATGATGGATGATGATCTGTCGAGTTACCTCTTCCTCAGTGAAAGATGATTCTTTGATTCAAGTACAGTTAGCCCATGTTGGGTACTGCCGCTGAACCTGACTCCTGGGGAGAACTCAAGAAAACATGACTTCTGTCCTTGAAAAAGTTAAAAGTGAGTTAAGAGGCAGAGATAAGAAGTAGAATACACCTACAGATTTTGGAATGTAGAAATGTAGATGGCCTTCTTGTGTACCACAACAACTAGTGGAAGCCTAAGTTCTAGGTCTACATTTCTCCTTTATAAATACAGTCTCTATGGTTACATGCACAAAACAAAACAAGATCAGTTAACAGCCCAGCAGGTTATGAAAACAAAGGATACGAAGGTGGGGGGATATGTCAGGGGAGATATGTCAGGGGGATATGTTGGAGGGTGTTGGGTAGAGTGGGAAGGGGGAGTTGGAGGTGGATATGATCAATATATATTATATAATGGCTGTCTCACACTGGAGAGGCCAAGTATCTGATAACTGCTCAGTCCAAGAGTTTGGATGTCTCAGCAGTCCCAATCAGGCACTGAAGGACTGGAGGATTCTTGGAGAGCTACTGGTCTTCAGTCTATGTTGGAAGCCAGAGGAAGTCAGTTCTACTATGGGTGATGGAATGCCACAGCAGTGGGACAGATGACCTTCCCAGTAAGAGTGAAGGCTAGCAGGCAAAAAGCAAAGTTCCTTCTTCCATGTCTTTATTTAGTCTGCCACCAGAAGGTGCCACTTACATGCAGGGTCAGTCCTCCTGCTTCAAGTAGTCCGATCAAGAAAAATCCCTCACTGGAGTGCCCAGCAGCTTGTGTTTTAGTTGATTCTAGATCCAGTCAGGTTGACAACCAAGTTTAACCATCACAATTACTTAATTACCTCTCTGTCCAATTCAGTTTTCCTTTCTGTTGGTTTATGTTGTTACTTCCCTGTGTTCAATCTGGTTTTTGAATTACATCCCTGGTACCTCAGTCTTAGGTTTATTTATGTAATCAGAGTTTTCCACATATAGTTATAGAGCTATAGTCTAGTATAGTAGCTAAGCATTTATAATATAGCTAGTTCAAATTGAGATGTACTGTAAGAGGAAAATACATGTTATATTTCTAAGATTTAGTACAAAAAGATGTGAAACATCTCAATTTTTATGCTGATTATAATATAAACACTGAATCTTTAGACTGTTAGGTTAAGTCTGTTAAATAATGTTTCAATAAAATTACATATTCACATTTTTAAAAAAGATACACTGTATACAGGTATGAAATTGTCAAAGAAAGAAAAAAAAATCCAAAAATAATGTAGGATTTCTGCTCCATAATAAATATTGGTAGATGATAATGACAATATTTACATATTTATTTCTCATCTTATTCCAAAAATAACTTCTATCCATTTAAACAAAATGTATACAGAGTTTAACATACCCCAAAGGATACAAAGGATAACGGGGTATCAGGGTGACAAAGAAACAGCTTCATTAAACTTGCAAAGAGATTTAAGTATAGGCCACAATTTGGTTTTAAAGATTGACATGGAAGCAGGGCACGGTGGTACATGCTGTTAATCCTAGCACTTGCGAAGCTTGGTCTGATACAGAAAGTTCCAGGACAGCCAGAGCTTCACTGGGGGGCCCCGGCTCAAAATAGGACAGGGAAAAAAAAGAAAAGAAAAAGAACAAATGTAAACAAAGAAATCTTGTTGATTTTACAGCTCATAGTTTCTGTCAGATGGAAAGAAGAGAAATGTTTAAGGGACTTAATGAGATTCTTGTTAATAGGAAGTAGGAATTTCTGCTTGGATTCTTGGTGAGTAGAAACTACTGTAAAATGGTTTTTTCATAAAGTGAGTCTTACAAATCAGTGAGAGGTGAATCCACAATAAAATCTTGGTGAGCAATTTATTGAGGAAGTATAAAAATCCTTTTTGAGCTGGACCCATGGCTCAGTAATTAAGAGCAAGGACTGCCTTGGAGAGGACCCGGTTCGGTTCCCCGCACCATGGTGGCTAACAAGGTCTAAACTCCAGTTCTAGGGGATCCAATGCCCTCTTCTGACCTCCTGGGCATTTCAGGACAAGGGTGTACTCACATACATGCAGGCAATACACTCATACACATAA